CAAAGGCGTTTGCCTATATTTCCTTCAATAAATTTGACTTGACTTGACTTGGCTTGCTATTACGAAGCGGTTTTCAGGAACATGCACATGATTTTAATATTCACAAATAATTATCGAATTTTACTCGCCTCACGAGAACGTTGGACATTCATTTGGCAATCAAACAAGTTAGGACCGAATAAACGCAATTTTCAGCAGATAGAATCTATTATGCAACGCTTATCGTGACACTGACTCTAACTAATTGTATTTACCCAAACGTGGTTTTATCAGTAAAGCGCTTGTTTTTTTTTCTAAGCCGGTATCAGTAAGGATTTAAATACTAAACGATAAAATCATGCTTTTGCAACTTTTTAATTTTGCGTAAGCGCGATGTGGGCCTACTGATGTATTAGACGAGGCATAGGAGCAAAAGCCTCAACGGGTAATGGTTGCAAAACGAGCAAGATTCTCACGCCTTCTACCAACAAAACCATACCAGTTATCCCAGGTGCCGTTTGGCTGTCTACGTGAGATTGTCCAATCGTACCATTTTATAGGACAAATAAGAAAGGCGCTGTTGTTTAAGAGTTTCTGTATTTCGTAGTTGTTACGACAACTGATCATAACCAAACTATGAATGGTCCAGAAGTAACGAGACAAAACGTTTTGAAGACATGAGGATTTCAGATAACGTGACGGATCGCACACCAGAACATCCTTTTATATGACTGAGTCATTAACTATGTCTGCATCGCAAACCGGTGATAACTACACAACTACAGTTACATATAGTCTTTTACAGCCAGCGTCAGAGAAAATCTGCACAAGCGTTCTTGTGTAAAGTTTGGTACAATCCACACTGAACACCTAGGTACAACTCTCCTTCCAAATCAGGCGAATCAGATGTTTGTCTTTGCTACTTGTTTTATCTATTTTAAGGAAAAACCACAAATTTGATTGCCATCTGATTCCTGCGACAGGATATCGAAAGAAAACTAGTTCTAGTTATTTTTAGAGCAGAAGCTTTGTAAAATAAAATGAAGAGTACAGTAATTGCAAATCATTAAAAAATATGGCGATCGTAGCATCCAAAAATCATGACAAGATTTGACTTTGTAGTTTAGCATGTATAGGATCACGTTATTTTGATCTATTGAGTGAATGTTATCCTGACGAAGCCAATTGTTTAGGAATACTGCCCTTTTAGGTAAATGTATTAATGGTAAATCATGAATTGCTTAATATCGAAGGAAGGTCCTTTGTTATTAAGTACGACAGAAGCAAACGTTTATAAATATGCATCATGCTATGGAAGCGCTCAAAAAGATGTAACAAAGGTTTAAAACACATCCTTTTCACAGCCAGAAAATTTAGTTCGAAATTGCATAAATGCATATTAAGCAAATTTTGAGAAATCGCATTTATTTTTACGGACAAGAAACAATTGCAGGTCCCGTGAAATTGTGGTAACCAGTGAGGTTTGTTGCCACATCATACGGTAACAAAACGTTTTGACTGTATTATTTAACTACAATTATTTGAGATGTAACTAAATACTGCATACATATTATCGTGACGATGAAGGTAAAGCCAAATCTTATTCAATCTAAGTCATGTAGAGACATACTTTTTGTACATGATAGGTTCCGTTTACGCGTACCTTAATAATTATTGCAAGATCTTAGTAGAAAGTCGGTGTTTTCGTTTATGCATTTGCAAGCTTAGAACAGAGCCTGAAAGCTATCCACTATAGCACAAAATAATCTTATGTAAAAAGTAAATTGAGTTCTTTCATTTCCAGCCAAATTGTATCATTTATCTTCAGGTTAATTAAAAAACTTGTCACTATCTCCATTTTCATTTTGGCATTGCCTTGGAAAAAGGTGACACGCAGCGATATTAGTCAGCTCTGTGCCCCATTAAAAGTGCATTTTAGAGAGCTAACCTATGATAGAAAGTTTTTATTAAACTTACTTTTAACCATATAAAACTTCGGTTGTAGTCGTTCTCTTTGGTCGACAATGTATTTTGCCATTTGAAAGAATTTATAACTATGGCCAACATGGCCATCTTCATAAGAACTAATATCTAAGAACGCATTTTTTCGGTAAACGCTCTTAATAAATACCTTATTTTAAGGGTTTTGATACAAATGTCGAACGATATTTTGATCTATCGACAAAAGCATGAAGATACTGAAGACCGTTGAAAATATTTCGGGGTTTAAAGGACAACAATACATAAAATGTTATACAATAACGATAATATGTTTAAATACGTCTGACTATGGGTAAGTCCTTTTGACATGCAGAAGGTGCTATATTTAACCATTAAACAGACGATGCGATTTAAATTTATTATTCTAACTTAACGTTATTTTTAGGTCCCTGAAACCCGTTGTTTTGCAAAATTTTTATTTTCTTTACAAAAATTGAGCACTTTTTACATGTCTTTTAAGAAAAAAATTTGCATAAGTTTCTATATTATTATACTTTCTAAGTTTTAATAAATACTTTCAATGTTTTACATAATTAGGCATTTTGCATGTAAGCCTCACCATATTGTTACGCAGTGATCTACAGAGGAGTTCTAAAAGGGTGAACATATATACTAACAGCTAACTTACGAATTTTAGGTAGGGTGCATTTCCACAATCTTCCAAATTTTTAATTCGTTTGCCGCTATTCTAGTTGGAGTTAGTTATACTATTTAAAAAATGTACCTCATTGACCTCGCCTAAGGGCGGCAAACACCCCCCCGCATACACGCGCTCGCTGATTATTTATTAGAGGTCAACGATGATATTAACATGTACCCCAGTGTCCTCGCCCGAGGTCAGCGCACTTCCCCGAAATTACCCGCTTAATTTTTTAATTTACATTAATATTGCACACTTAATTATTCCCCGATACGCCCCACCCACACTTCCCCCTAAACCCAGGTACCCGTATTCGCGCGCACTGTGGAGATTCCAATACAGTATCATTACCTGTTGTTAATTACTGCGAGTGCTTGCCCGTTTGGCCCTCATATTTGACATACAAAACGCTGCTAAACTAAGGTTCCTCGACAAGTTGCAAGGTCTGACCAGACGGTTTTACATGATAGAAATTAGAAAGATGGGATTCCTGAATATTCTATTCTGATTAACGCCTTGATGACACCTCAAAAAAGGCAGTTAAGAAAGTAAATTGAGGTTCAATTTGAAAGTGTACAAGAAGACGTCAGCCAAAGTGAAGTTGCACCTTGGCGCATAAATCCAGTGCCTACTTTTCAGATGCGGTTATACCGAGGAGAGCACTATTCCAAAGCAATATTAACGTAGCGGCGGAAATCAGACCGAAATTGGAATAATAGACGGGGCCCTTCGTCAATGTCAGGTTGACATTCTAAAATAAACCGAAAATGGCACAAGATTAGCGTGCTTACTTTGAAGAAAATTAATATTTGTATACCGCATGCTAACCTCCAGTTGATACTTCTTCGGCTATCTACCAGATAATCCTGTGATTTTGTAAATAATGCTTAGTTTTCGTATTTCCGATATGTGGTGATTTTCAAAGCATTTAGTCACATGGTTAGGAAGTGCCGGCGTTAGAAGGTCATATGGATCTTAGTGTGATTGGACGGCTACCCAACTTTCTTTATTTGTGCGACGATTTCAGAAAGATAATCCGAAATGAGATCTTAGTTCTTATGCGCGGTTTTTGGCACAATGTGCGGCGCAC